TTGATGAATGTGTGTTGTTGTTATTCAGCATGGTTCAATGTGCCCCTTTTTAACTTTGAGCACCCGCCCCTTTAAACCTCTCTGCACGTCCCTGCTATAGAGTTACACTTAACTTTAAAGCATGAGGCACTTGTGTTGAATACACACAAGATACTTACATAAATCCAAGAGCTGGCCAATCCCTTTTTTTTCAGTGTAGTTGAAAAACCGACCAACAAACACTTCTACTGTATGCTGTAACTTTTTATTTGAACTTCATGCAAAAAACATTTACTAAATAATCCCCTTTGCTCTGTTTTATTTTCTTTGCCAATTTCCTTGTAGCTTTTATTGTTGACATCCATTATATCCACAATTAAGGATGCAGTCTAGTGAAGACATGAGTATGAGGATGAATGGCAATGTTATTTGAACACTCAAAAAAAATGAAATTGGGTGGTTGTTACATGTACAAGATTCAAACTTGTAATTTGAACTAAATAATTTCATGTTTCAATGGTGAATGTAATTAAATCATGTAGCATCTGTATGAAATTCAGCAACTTAATTTGTTCTTGTTGAGATGACATGATACAATCTAGTAAGAGTGGTTAGTTGCCTGGACTCACAAAATTCACAAGATCACATTAGATGTCAAACTGCAGGAAAATCGCTGGAGTTTTAAGAGGCAGACAACTACACCACGTGTATGCTATCACTATTTATTGTGGTTTAACCTGTCAAGGACAAAAACATACAGAAAATTCTGCATCAAGCCTTGTAATCATAGCTTTCCTAGTTTTGGTAAGCCTGGATTGACAGCTTGGTGGCGTGATGGTTAGTGCTGTTGCCTCACAGCAAGAATTCTAAATTACCCATGAATATAAGTGCAAATGGTTGTTTGTCTCCATGAAATCATCAACCCCCATATTGGTTCATTGAGCACGACTAGCAGTAATTGCCTTGATTAACAAAGTAGTTGTTCAAACAACAAGATTTCATTGCGTTTTCCTAAAGTTTTTAACTTGTGTAGAATCAATTAAAACAAATTTCACTCTACATACTTAAATAAATCACTTCAAGTCAATGTAAGTATACTACGATGATCCAACATAATCTGATTACATTAAGCCACCAAATGCCAAATGTGTTGGTTTGACATGGTCAAAAATCAGTTATTGTACTTGGTTAAATCACATGGAAAAAGGTGCCATGATTAAATTGTGTTCATCCAACAACAGATTTTTTTGAGTGAAATGATTATCCTGTGATGGATACTTTACAGATTAATGTGTGTTTAGTTATACCATAAAGGAACTGTGTAATCTTAAGTGTCATGAAGCGTATTACCTGAAGACGATGGAAGTGGAATAGATCTTGACTGATTATATTCAGGGTCCATCCCAAATATACTGTGATCTAAAATGTAGAGGAGATAGAGAGGAAGTATCAACAAAGGGTTACTTAGCAACATCCACTGGCATATACAAAAAACGAAGCTGCTGAACAAGTAACACAACTTTTTCAATCAAACAAACACAAATGTGTACAAAAACTTTATGTTGCTTTATAGTTAAATAATTTAACATGGCCACAAAGAGGTGATACACATACTGGGTCCATGGTGCCTTGGAGGACTCCTTGGGCGTATGGAGATGGCATCCATTGGGATGTTTTCTCTACCCCTCCAGCTTTGTTCCTGCCAGCCACCTTGAGGCACTCTCCCTATAGCAGCATCATTGCTAGCCCTGTCACCCCACCAGGTTGGGTCTTTGTTGTCATAGGGGTTAGTATGATGGGTTTTGCTGGAAGCCCTAGAGCCCAAACAGAATAAATTATTAATAAATTATATAAATGTATGACACCTAAGAGCACTGACGTTATCACATCAGGAAGAGAACAGAAATTTCAAGTCACCGATATAGTTATTTGAATTTAAACTGTGGAGGTTTTATTTAATTTAAAGTACATTCAGTCTTATAGAGTATTGGACTCATTTTAACAGTAAACTGCAGAGACTAGTATGCTAAAGTTTACTCTAGGGCTCTCATATAATCATCCACAATCCTCAGACCTTAAATCTTGTACCAAAAAGATTAACACTAAAATGAACCAGCCGAGGATAAAGCAAAGATATATAAAAAATTCGCGCTGTTGCCTTTTTCTTGAGGCGATCCTGTTAAAACTAGTTTTTCATTTGCTTGCTTGACATTCTGACCTTTTCTTCACAGTACTTCCTCTTACTACAAGCACACACAACACACCACTCAAACTCCTTCACAAACACATTCTTTGACAAATTGTAATTCTATACTTTTCAGGAAAAAAGATTTCTCTGATGCACATTTGAGGACAAAAACAAATTTTATGTTATAATATAAACACAAACCTTCTATCAATTTCCAGAGTCTCTGTGTCATGGTATGCATGGTTGAAAAATCCCCCGTTCCTGTAACTTGTCATGAGATCCTTCAAATTGATCCGTTTGCTTTTCTTTGGAGACAGCAGTGATTCCTCAGCTCAGTATGCCCCAGTCGCTCCCAATATGAGGATTTCGGTGTCAAGTGGCAAAATGTAAACGACTTATTCCATATAAAAGACAAATATTAAAATAAAGCAATAAAATTGTGCTTGAAGCCAAGTTATCAAGCTAAAGACTAAACCTAAACAAGTAGTATAACATGTTAATACCACATAGTTTTCTGTATAGAGGCAGCTTCATAGAAAGCATGTGCAATTTGATCTCTAGAGCGCTCGGTCCGATCATTATAAATTCATGTAGGAGGTTTGGTTTCAGCCTGTGGAAAGAGGTTTGGTTGCAGTGGTATAGCTCTGTGGTTCTCACAAAAACCATTATATTATGGCAAGAGAACACCTCGGTCTTATATAACAATGAACAGAAAACAACAGACTGATGGCTGAACTATAGAAACAGGAAACCTATAAGAAATGTGTAGTTAGAGTTAGGTTCTCATATAATAACAAACCTGTAAAGATTAAAAGAACTTGTCAAATGACATTCTGCTCTGTTATTAGCCTCTGCTTACCTGGTTACTGTCCTGTAATGGAGAGAATATATCTAAAAGGGTGTCCTGACAATACAGAGTTGCAGCTTAAAAGTCTGAGGAGTATCTCTGAATTACCGTCAGTGACATAAAAAGAAGGACTGTCCTCCTACCAGGAAGTGTAGCCTGAGCTCACAAAGGTAAAAGTCCGCTGCTTTTGGACTGGCACTTGGATATTGAAAGGTTACGCTAGATTGTGACATGAATAATTAAACCGCCAGTGCTAATAATTATTTAGCATCCTTATTAAAACTTAAGGTGATAAGGCTCAAAAGGCTGACCTATAGGGTTGAATCCTGTTACAGACAGATAAATGAAACCTAACCAATAAACAAATAGTCGGAAACCGGGAAAAATGAGCTTGCGAATTGGGTTTACTATGCTCCACACAGGGAAGGAAGAGTTGTGAGCAAGCATTTTAATGAAGTGAAAGGACAAACATAGACAAACTGGGAATATATTGTGTGACTGTGAAACTAACTAATATAATATGTAATCTGTATGTTCATAATTTTGTTTTTTTCTTTTGAGACTGTGAGTTAACTAAAACCTATTTTAAACTTAAACCTGTCATATTAGTATAATTAGCACATTCGCTTAAAAAATCCTACAAAAATGACTACATAGCATAGAATATAATATTAAACATGTAACTAGCAACATAAACTATTATAAAATGAAACCAAACACGACACCCAGATATAACATAAATAAATAATAGCTAGTGTCGCTCCCGGAGCTGTATCCACATCCAGGAAGTAGATGTTGGGAAAGACTGCTATTATCTTCCTGACAGCTGGGAGAGTTAACTCCTTGTTTTTGACGAAGTCTGATGGTTAATTGTTAGCTAATAAATAAATAGCTGTATTTATTCTGTCGGAAGGGAAGCGATGGAAGTCGACTCAGGTATTTTTGAAGTTCGTGCGTTACTTCAGAACATTAATTAGCCCAATTTATTTCTACATTAGCTAACTAGCTAATAATGCTAGCCGCTAAAAAGTAGCTAAAAGTTTGTTGTGCTGGTGAATGATTTGACAGAGGGTCATATAACGATTACAGGAAGACCTTCAAATGAGAGCAGGAAGAGATTTTGTTTGTCTGGTTTGGCTCGAGTGTGTTTACGGTGTCGAAACTCAATTGTCGGCTCATAAAACAGTCTGCTCCCTTGGTTAGCCATTGTCTTTTCTCCTGGGAGGCAAACGTAAAAAGGAGTGTCGAATTTTAACAATGTTTTTGTTAGCTGTAGAAACATATACTTGAGTTGTGACGTGATGTTATTGTTTGTATGTGTAAACTTATTATAAGGCGCAGGGTGTTAGGGACATTAGGGTAGCCAGTAGTGACCTGTTCGTATACAGTATTTATTAAAAATCTATTAAAAGCTCATAAGTGTGCACAGTTTGAAATATCAGTATCCTGTGATCTACAATTTATCATTAATTACTTTTGTGGAATGTTGAGTTTAAGGGTGCATCATTTTCTTCATTTGTATTGATTTTTATTATTATTCCCATAATATAAAACAGCTTCTTCTCAGTTTTCTGTCACTTAGAAAAGTGTTAGAAAACTCTGTCCTCCTCTCGTAAATTAGATTTATGATATGTTCAATGTTTTGAACTTGTGACAGCCATTTTCTGTTTGTTTTACTTTGATGTTATCAAACAGAAGTCATATGGCAGTTTAAAGGTCTTGCTGATATAAACCGGGTGATTCAGTAATACGTAAAAATGGTTTCCACAGACATGCTACCAGAGGGTTTTCTAGATGTAGAAAAAGCTACATCTAACGAAACTATTGGCATGTGAATGTTTTTTCCTTTTCATTCTTTTTTATTTAGATTAAGAAGAAGTGTCAGTTCGGTATTTTAAGCCTAAGATATACCAGCTTCCTCAAAATGCCTTGCTTGCCTAACAGCTGGCTCCACATCCAGAAGCAGAATTCTACTTGATGTTAGTCTTAGTAAAGTTTCAGTTCAAGCTGCTATCGAAACAAATGATTACTTGAAATAACTTTTTGTTCTCAAGATACGAGCTCATCATGTGTCAAATAATTTGGAGGAGACCTGCTTCTGGTTATCTGGCTGTTTCTGAAATTCATGGCCACATGTTATAATGGTGTTAAGTTTAGCTTGGTAAATTTGAGAGACATCCTATATTGATTTAACGTTTTCAACAGCCTCTTAACCATTCTTAACCTGTTAGCTGTTATCTTTGCTGACCTTCCTTTTGAAAGAAATGTGTTAATGGCTGACAAGTGAACTCAGTTTACCTCCTTTGCCTCTCAATTCTTTTGTTTTAATGCCATTTCTCAATTTTGCTTTCTTGGAGAAAGACATGAGTAATGAGACTCATTAGCAGTCACCTGGAGAGAATAAAGTAACTGTGCTATAAGGTTGAGCCTCAATGTGTGTTGGACTAAACCATTTCTAAATTTGTAAGTCTGGCAGAGAGCTTTTATTATTTTTGTAATCATCCAACAGATTTATTCAGGCAGTTTAATTATGACATAATTTACATAGGGATTAAAAAATGTAAACAAATCATTTTTTTCATTCCTGGCTTGGAAGGGCCCCTCCTGCTGGAGCTCTAGGTAGTACTTTTCTCTCAGCTGCTACAACCTATTTTTTAAATGGTGTTGAGCATTTTTTAGCCTTTCTGGAGTTTTTTTTTTTTTTCATGGTTTAAATTTTATCTTTAGTCACTATGTTAATATCAGTTTGTTCTCATTTCTTTTGTCATGGTGTGTGGTGGTCCTTTGATAAAACTGAATATATGGAGGGAAAAAAATAGGAAAAAAATAAAAAGCAAACTTGTCTAAGAGAATTCAGACTGTGCTGAAGAATAAAGGTGGTCAAATGAAATGTTGACTTTCAAGCTGCATTGTATTTGTACAGTACAGCTGTACAAATATAGCATTTTTATGCTATTTCTATGCATGCTTGCACTTGTCAGTAGATCTCTGCACTTATTTCTCAATTTCATAGCAAAACATGAAGAAATGAGGGATGGTTTGTGTCTTTTGCATGGTGATGTAGTTATTATCTCAACTTGAATCCAACTTGAGTCTGCAAATAAAAAAAAGTTTAATTTATGCAAATCTCAGACAACATATACATCCTTAGAAATATATCTGTGCTAGCCCAATATCAAGTGAATCGTGTAGCTGTCCATCTTTTTATGTGGACGTGAATGGATTGGATGGATGGATGGGTTGATCCTGATTTGAAGTGACTGTTGTGAAAATGCAGGGGTAATTAGCTCAGTGTTAAACACAGTCATATTACTTTGTATTATGTATATTTCATTGAGTTTTGTTTTCTGTACAGATGCAATATTAGCATCTGTTCCAGAAGAGCAAAAATAAATGTCATGTAAGAAACATTGCTTTGTTTGTCTTTTCAAGTGTTCGTCACTGATCACAGTGGGCGAATCAGCAGTAACCCTCTGCTGGACCAGCTCCCCAGTTACCAGTCCCTGCTGTACCGCAGGAAGTCGTCAACTGTTGGCTCCAAACAAAGAGGCAGCTCTAGAGCAAGGGTTGGCTCATCTGGCAGTGGGAAATGGGGTATAAACACCTTTGTAAGACAAACCGTGAAACAGAAGAGTCAGACTGAGAAGCGACACATCAGAGAACTAGCCAAGCCCATGGCTGAGAAACGCAAACAGTAGGAAACTGTAGTCTGTTATGACTTCTTTCACTAATAGCTAAATAACGTTTTTGTGTGTCAGGAGTTTATTTGACTGTTTGATGTTTTAGGAAACAGTGTGCAGAAGATGCTCAAAAGTTGAGCAGCTGGCAACAGTGGCGACAAAGCACCCGCAAGTATCTGAGGAGGATGAGAGATGAAAGCGAAGAATGGCTGAGCTCCTTGAAGCTCTGGAGGGGAGACATCCACCTAATAGAAGGTAAAAGAAAGACAAACAGATTGTCTGACAGAAATTGTTTCTTTGGTCTCAAAGACTTGTTTGGATTTCTGTTCAGATGGTGCTAATCGGTAATTATAATTTTGCTAAGACAAAGTGTACCTTTGTGTTATGTCAGACTTAAGTTCTCCCTTTTTGCCTCTTTCACTTGTCACTAGGGATGTTTGGAACAGGGATCCTGTCTTACTTCTCCTTTCTGCGCTTCCTGGTCACACTCAACTTTATCATCTTTCTGCTCATGTTTGGTTTTGTCATGTTGCCCATCATCATTGCACCCCATGTTTCAGGAAATATCACCTTCAGCCAGAATGATAGTGAGAGGATTATTTGTTTGTTTGTTTCAATTAGAAGCATATACTAAGCAAGAAAGACTAAAAGGCTTAGCTTATCTGTTATATTACAGGTTACTGCAGCGTGTATGAAAGTGGCAGTCGTCGAGGTCTTGTTAACTATCATAAGTATATTACTGATCTGCTTTCTGGTGAAGTAAGTGTTGTCACATTATTAGTCTCCTGAGAAAGAGTCCACTCTGTAGTTTCTGTACTCACCTGCTGTGCTTCATCTGCAGGGCTTTCTGGAACAGACCTATCTTTTCTACGGCTTCTACAATGTGGAAAAAATCCATTTCTCCCACATAACTTATAATTTGGCACTGGCATACCTGCTGGTCACTATAGGGTACCTCTTCCTCAGTCTTATCTGGATTGTTAAAAGGTATGAAAAAGGCAAACTCATAAGAAATAACATTTATGTGATGAGATGTGGTCTTGAGTGTTTTCTTCTTTCGAAGGTCTGCCACCGGGTTCAAACATAATCTGATTCAGGATGAGGATTGCTTTCAGAGTTTTTGCAACAAGATCTTTGCTGGCTGGGATTTCTGCATCACCAGTGAGAATGCTGCAAAGCTGAAGAAAAAGACTTTGCTCTATGAGCTGAAGGTTAGTTTATACATCAGAAGCATGATTGTAAAACTGGCTAGTCAAAACAATGGCCAGTTTACAAATTTGTTTTAAACTAATTTGAAAAAATGGGTGCTTACATGGCACCCCAGCAGCTACATACAGTTACTCTAAAGTAAAAATAAGATGTGCATTTTAATATAATCTACTTTTATGGCTTTAGTGACATTCAAGGCCCCAGTTCCCACATGCATTACTACCGGGGTCACATGCTAATCAGCGGTATTCTGTGCTATCATTGGTAGTCGCTTCAAATCCTCACCAGGAAGTTAAAATAAATTTATCACAGGTCCCGCCTGCTTCACAGTGCCAGCAGTTATTTAGCCTCTAACCACATGAAGTCACTGAATGTCATTCACTTTCTATTGTCCCTGGTTGCCACATAGCTGCCAATTGTTTTCAGTGTTGATGCAGCTCTACCCTGTACCTGTGTCCTGGAGGTAGTAGTTCATATGCACGTTAGAGAGGGTGCAATACATCACTGAGAATTGCTTACACTTGTCCCTTGATGTTCCTTAAAGTAAAGTAAAAGCAAAATTGTATTTATATTGCACCTTTCAAGATAAAAATCACAAAGTGCTTCACAGAAGCTAAAACATAAAAATCAAAATCAACCAAAAGCGAGTTTAAAAAAACAACAACAACAAAAAAACTTCATTAGTCTTACTGATGAGTCTAAAGTAAAGAAAATTAATAATCAAACACCATCATTTTGTTGTCTTGCCTTATTTTAAAATTCATATTTTTATATCTTTAGACTGATTTGGAGGATGAGAAGATCAAGCAGAAAATAGCAGAGCGCACCCACAAAGAAAAATGTCGGCTTTACTTCATCCGTCTCATCCTGAATCTTTTCGTCATTGGTGTACTGGCTGCTTGCTTCTACTGCATTTATTTAGCCACTATCTTCTCCCAGAAAGCCCAAATGAATGACCAAAAGGTAAGGTTTTTTTAATATTCTTTCTCTCCACCCACTTTGATTCAACCTTTATGTAGAAATTTCTGGTAAATGTTGGCAACACAGGATAAAAGGTATTTGTTGTTTCTCCTCTTTTGCAGGTGAATTTCATAGTAGATCTCATTTTTGAGTATCTACCTTCAATTGTTATCACCTTTGCCAACTTCATTACCCCAGTACTTTTCTCTTTTATCATCAACTTTGAGGACTATTCTCCTGCTTTTGAGATCCGCTTCACTCTTATGAGGTAAAATGGAGTCTTGTGTTTTGACCTGCTTACTCATAGATGCAGATTTGAACTTGAAAGTATTTCTGATTTGCCTTCTTTCTTCCTATCCTCACAGGTGTGTCTTCATGCGGTTAACCAGTATTGTGGTTTTGCTCTTTTCTGTCTGGTCTCGGATCACTAAATGTAAAGATGATCCCTGTATTTGTGGCTACAACCACGATCTTTACCCTGTAAGTAATCCTCTTTTGCCATAATGTAATATACAGTGGTTTGCAGGGGTAGTGCCACAGGTACCAGTGTCAAACTCATTTGTATCTTTGCATTAGCTGTTATACATATGTGTTAGAATGTGAATATTACATATGTTAAGTGTAACTGCACGAATATGTGCCCATATTTTGGTCTCTTAGACTTTTAATTTTAAAAAGTATTTTAAAAAAAACAGTATATTCCTAATCACCCTATAAAATACATTTCTTAAATCGTGACATGTATGTATGGTAAAATCCAGTCTCTATATCCTTGTTGCTGTCGACAGTGCTGGGAAACGCATGTGGGCCAAGAGATGTACAAACTCACCATCTTTGACTTCATTGTCATTGTTTCCGTCACCATCTTTGTGGAGTTTCCTCGAAAGTAAGACCTCATTTATCCACAGTAGAAAAAAAGAACAGTTCATCTAGTTTTGTGATCATCTCATGACATTTGAAGAGGTGTAAACATGTCACCTTCATAAAAGATTAAGAATCTCTAATGTAACAGTTACAGGAGCTGACTTGGACTACCGTATTTTTCGATAGTGCGCCTTATAATCCGGTGCGCCTTATGTGTGAATTCTGGTTGTGCTTGCTGACCTCGAACTGATTTTATGTGGTACACGGCGCTAAAAAATCTGTCAAAAATGTTTTAGTATGACTTCGGTAAGCTACGGAGCCGCACCACTTGGATGGATTGTCAGAGAATTACGGCTACCGTAGTCAGGAGCCTCGCGGAGTAATCTGGGTCTAAAACTTCGCTCCAGGTCCCAAAGTCAGATGAATACTGCGACATCACTGAGAGTTAAAAACTGTCTAAATTCCTTCATCTTTAATAAAATGATCAGCATTGCTGCTTTACCAGGTGGAACAATTAAGTTTAACATCCAGGCATCCATCAAAACAGAATTTATTAAATTTAACAGAGTTAGAAGTTAGCATGAAGTTAGCTCGCTAGTTTACACTGAAACATAATATAGCATGTTCTGAATGAGATTTCTGAAAAAATTAAAATGTACAGCTCTGCTATCACTTCCAGCATAAATAAGGACAGAAAACTAAACAGCAGTGATGTTTGTAGAGTTACTGAAGTTGGACTAGCTGGTATATAATGATGTGCTACGTGATCGCTAATGACACAGCTATGTTAGCATAACATAAACACAGTGAAACTGGAGGATGAACGCTAACTTTTTTCCACTCGATAAAAGTTAACGTGAGGGTACTTGATGGTTAGGGAGAAATGCAATCGCATGGCAGGATGCTGTAAATGCACCAAACTTCAGTCAGGAGAACAACTGAGACAATCCATCCACAATACAAGGTTAGTCATTAATATACTGCAACAACATGGGAATAGAGCAGCTGTGAGAGAATTCAGCATTAATGAATCAATGGTACGGAAGTGGAGGAAGAAAGAGGAATGAGTTGAGTCAAGTTTGACTTGTTTTGTTTCGCTTAATGCGCCCTATAATCCGGTGCGCCTTATGTATGAAAACAGATCCATTCATCGACAGTGCGCCTTATAATCCGGTGCACTTTATGGTCTGAAAAATATGGTAGTTTTAGTGTTAGCTTAGTTAGTCTAAATAAATGTAGCTAAAATTATTCTGTCACTGAAGGCTTTGTTTTCTCTGATTATTTCTGCTTTAGTCATTTTTGTCCTTCTTGTTCTATCCTACCCAGACTGCTTCTGAGGTACAGTAATTCTGCCCTGGCTAAATGGATGAGCCAACAGGAGTTTTCTATTCCTCAGAATGTACTGGAGATCGTCTATGGTCAGACCATCTGCTGGATCGGCACTTTCTACTGCCCACTGCTGCCTGCTATCTGCACCCTCAAATATTTCTTTATCTTTTACATCAAGAAGGTGACATTTTGGTTTGAATGCATGTAGTTTTTTTCCTTGCAAGAGTGAAGGAAAAAAGCATGAAATATTCTAGTAAGCCTCATTTGCAAATTTTTGTTTGCTAGGTATCATTAATCAAAAACTGTCGTCCAGCCACACGTCCTTTCCGAGCATCCAGCTCCAACTTCTTTTTCCTCGGCGTGCTGTTGATCGGCCTGACTCTTGCCTGTGTGCCTGTCATAGCTAGTATAGCACAGTGAGTAATGTTCATACTGTGTTCTAATTATATTTGTATAGTTTGTATGGAGCTTTAAAAGAACCTCTAGCAGAAATATTCATGCCAAAGGTCAAAATCTGGCCACTGCCATATAATTATTTTTTTCTTAATATGGATAAATATAGGAACTCTTACTTGTATGCACTCACTTATACTTCCTTTTTGTTCAGGATAAACTGTTCTCGGGCCTGTGGACCTTTTGTTAATTACGAAACCTCCTGGTACGTGGTGCCAGCTACAGTTTCTCAGCTACCCAAAGGAGTCGAAAAGCTTCTCCGTGCTCTCTCTTCAGAGGCCTTTGCTGTCTCTTTCTTTGTTATCACATGGTTGGTCCTCTTATTATATATTTTCACCTTTTTAACATTGTTTTTCCTCTGCTGTAATTTTATACTTTGTTTCCATGTTTTTTCCAGTTTGGCCATGTTTTATGTGATTGCACTTGCTGGAGCACACAAGAGGGTCATTAATGAACTAAGACACCAACTAGAAATGGTAGGTCTTATTCTCCTCCCCCCCCCCAAAGGGAGGGAGTATGTAATTGGTTCTGTTTGTTAGAAGGTACTAGTGCCCACACTTTTAAAGATATCGTTTTCAAATTTTGTGTGATTGTAGATGCAGATAACGGCTTAATTTATTGTTGGTGAAAATCTAGTCGAAGTTACACAAAATGTGAAAATCAGTAAAACCTATATTATCAACGATTTTTTATGGATTATATTTAAACTTCACAACTAGGCCTTGGGGAACATTAGTACCTAAGCTGGCTAAGCATGTGAGCTTCATTTTTAGTGCTCAAGATCAAAGTTGACCTAATTTAAAATTCTAAGAAACCATGTTAAGTAATATCATATGAAATAGCATGGAGATGGCTGTATAACACACCTTATTTTTTCAATATGTTCTGTACGATATCAGTAATAAAAACATCATAAAAAGTCAAAGTTTTATTATAGCTCTTGTCCTTCAGGGGGAGTTGCGTACTCTGAGTGTTCTTGTTATCAATTCAGTTATTGCCAAATGAAGTGTGAACTGAAATCTGTTTGTGTTAATTTGTCAATCAGGAGGGCCGCGACCGGCGTTTCCTGATCCAGAAGCTGTGCCAGGCCCAGAAGCGCTCAGGTGTGAGATCCCCACAATCCAAATTCCAACCCCGCCGCAGCAGCAGCAGAAGCAGTCCTAGCTACCACACTAGCTTCGCCACCAATTTCAGTGATGCGGTGTTCCTGGCCCATGCAGCTCCAAGCTCCTCCACTCAAGTTTAAGGCAAAGGCCTTATTTTACTGAACAAAGCAGAGGTGCATGCTTAGACAATTCTTCAATTGTCTAAGCAGACAATTGAACTTTTCAGACTAATATCTTAAATGTGTTTAATTAACTGTGAAAACACTGCATTGTAAACAAATATCCTGTTCACAGTGCTTCTGACCTTTTCAGTGGGTTTTTTTTTTTTTTTGCTGTTTGTTTGTCCAAAAAAACAGTCTGAATATTTGTGAATATATGAATTGACAATCTCAAAAATATTTTTTTCCTTTAATCAAAACTTTATTTTTGTTGAGCTGCAGAGTATTTACTTGCATGTAATCTTTTCCTTCTGAGAAGGATTTCGATTCTTTTAAACTACTGGACTTGTTTTTAAAACTTTTCTCAATCTCATGCACTTTAAATGTATTAACGCAGGGTTTTGGGGGTTTGTTTTGTTTTTTTACTACAGCTTCCTTGTTGACTTGTTTATTTGTGGGTGTTGTTGCATATGCAAATGAATATTTATGACTGTGCCTAATACATTTTGAATGAAATTACTTTTAACACTACTTTTTACTTAGTTTTAGTACCTTTTTAAAATATCTTCTGGACTGTGGGCATGTTATTAACAATGTCTCTGTTCTGGGGGGGGGGGGTTTTGTCAGATTTGGGTGAAAATACTCTTGTACTTTCATGATGCCTTAATTTGATTGTACTGTACATATAAAATAAATGTTTTCCTAAGTATATTTTCTCATTTAATTTTTTTAAATCTCACTCTGTCAGTCTCATCATGCAGATATTTTATGGAACAAACTGATATAAGTGAATGTGAAATACTGTTTTGAAAAGTCAAATGGTGGTAAAATCTCTGTCATGGTGCTATGACAAAAGGCAGTTCGATGATATATAAAAAGTGATAAAGGGTAATCAAGGAGAGGGTAATAATAAGATTACGAATTGGCTATTGAAAAAGTAAATGGAATAATTACAAGGCCAACACAATACGCTAACACTATAGATGAGTTAATTGGTATTTTTCTCCTCCTACTTTAAGTATAGTATTTTGCAGGGTATGATACTTCAGAATATGAAAAAGCAATGTCTTCTCCAACAACCGAGATGTTAGAAAATGGATCAGGGATGTTAGGGTTCGGTAAAAACGTAGACGTTTGTAACTTTAACCAGAAGAGGGCAGTGATACAACTTAAAACGTTACAAGCGGCCGTGAGCGAAGGAGAAAATGGCACCTCCTACCCGCCAGAGGTCGCTGCAGACGCCGCCTGTGACAGTTCATTGACAGCCCCTCAGATGGTACGGAACCGGAGGCAGCGTGCGGTTGCTTGGCTCAACCACTCAAAATGCTCAGAATTACGATCCGGGCAGAAATGGGATCCCTTTGGATTTTGTTCGGTGTCATCTACTCTCAGTTCTTGGCCGTATCCTCTGATGACATAGTTGTGGCATGCGGTGGATTCGTGAAATCCGACGTTGAAATCAATTACTCTCTGATCGAGGTGAGAGTGCAAATGTCCCGGCTAGCGTGCTAGCAGCTAACCAGCAGCTAGCTGGTTTGTGGTAGAAAGCTAAAGGTTGGGCGGAGTTTTTCGTTTCAATGACAGTTTGAATGAAATGAATACAAAAGCAGTGTATTTGTGTTTAATCTGTTTCTGATTGCTCGCAAACATTTGTGAGTTTGGTCTTGTTTGACATTGGTTTAGCTACTTACTAGATAGCTGATGGTAACTCAGCATTAATATCCATATATCACACAAGGCATTCACTGCTAATCCTAAAACCTGCAGGCGTTGATGAGTAAGTGCTCCCGTCCTAATCCCTTCTTTTTCACGGGCTACATGGGATTAGCAATTTGGTTAATTAAGATATTGAAATGAACTAAATCCGACAGACTAGATTGTTTCTTTGTTGCTAGTTGACATAAATCGCTCAGTTTAGTTATTATAGTATGAACACTATAATAACTTTCATTATGATTAATGATCACTGTGTGTTCTTCATTCTCAGATTAAACTATATACCAAACAAGGATCACTGAAATATCAAACGGATTGTGCTCCAATCAATGGTTACTTCATGATCCCTCTCTATGACAAGGTATGCCAGCAACTGATTTGATTAGCTCTAACTAATTCTTTCACTGATGGTGAATTTAATCAAGCTGTCACTTTAACGCAGGGAGATTTCGTTTTGAAGATCGAACCTCCGCTTGGGTGGAGCTTTGGTAAGACTCTCACAGAAACATCCCCATAATTCACAAATTATCATATAAAAGCCATTGTGCATTGTCCCATATTCTCTGGTCTCTTTTCCTTTTGGACTTTTAACTATCATCAGAGCCTACCAGTGTCGACCTGCATGTGGATGGAGTCAGTGACATTTGTACGAAAGAAGAAGACATCAATTTTGTTTTTACGGGATTCTCAGTGTCAGGAACGGTGAGAATGGTCTTCTTGAAAAGAAATCTAGATTGTTATAGTATGTAGACAGAAAGTTTAAGAGTTAAGACTGTCTACTTTGCAAAATGTGTGATTTTAAAAAAAGTGCTTTGACACATTTGATGGGGTTTATCTAAATGCAAGAAAACTTTGGAGCGCTTTAAAGCTTCTTTAACCAATGCAACACAGGTTATTGATAAAATAAATAGTAGTATCAAGTGGTGATTAGTGTCTAGTTTCCTCAAATATATTGTGTTTTGCTCAGGTTCTGAGTAAGGGCCATCTCATGGGCCCGGCTGGCGTGGAAGTCAAACTCAGCCGAGCCGGAACAGGGGAGAAGCTCCAGAGTGTCACCACACAGCCTGGAGGAAAGTAAGTTACTCACACCTTATGTTTGTTTCTGCATTATACAGATGTTTGAAATGAACTTGCCCCTTTCTTTTTTTTTTGTGTGTTTTTTTGCTTACACAGGTATACCTTCTTTAAAGTACTACCAGGAAAGTATGACATCACAGCTTCTCATCCTTCCTGGACTCTCGAACAGGTTTGTTCACGTTGGCAATCGATATTAAACTGCACGTTGCGTTAAAAACGTGTTGCCCATGTTCTATTATGAGTGCCTCATGTCAGTTTTTTACATCTTACATCCACCAAACCCCATTTAGAATTGATGATCAACTTATCATGCATGTCTTTGGACTGTTGAAGAAAGCTGGACTTTGCAAGATGTAAAATAAATGACACAAAGTGTAACTTGGTTCATATCTGATGTTAAAATTAGATGAAAAAAGAGTGTGGTAAACTTTTAGTGAAAGATTTAAAATCTCTGTGTACAAAAATACACTGTCAGATTTGTAACTGATGATGCGAATAAGCTCTCCCACATTATTTCCCCCCCATACCCACCTACCATCATACTCAGTACCACAGCATCCCAGTTTCCAATTAAAGTACTGTCATTAATACTGTAGAGAATGCATGATCTCAGAGGTCTGTTTGATTCTGTATCGCTTGAGGGTAGAAAACGTCATTATTCACCTACTTGCTTAGCTGATACAGTTCCTTGTCAGGTGAGCAAGGTTATAACTAATGAGCTCCAGCAGTAATCACAGTGAACCTGACAGGGCCATTATTCCATCTCTTAATGCAACTTATGGGTGACCTCTGCCATCTTCATATAGAGTACTACCTCAGTGCACGTCTCCAATGCAAATGCCCCGGCCGCTGACCATCTGGTGGTTGGAGGCTACGATGTCTCGGGGGAGGTCCGCAGTGATGGAGAGCCCATGAAAGAGGTCACCTTCCTGCTTTACTCAGCCACAGTCAAGAGAGAGGTAAACCTCCATAATTTCCATTTTTGCACAGAAATATGTCGACTTTTCATATCCGTCCTACATTATATGTAAATGATCACACTTTAACACTTTACTTTAACTTAACACATTTTCCACGTCTTGTAATTTCTGGAATATGCTGAATTTCGCATTGCTCCATTGGTTCAATTTCAATGTTTGTCATTTCCAGGACATAAGTGGCTGTAATACTTCCCCAGTGGAGGGTGCAGATTCTGGGGACAGCACGCTGGCCTACCTGTGCAGCGCTCTGTCCAGAGATGATGGTGTCTTTGTCTTTCCTTCATTAGCCAGCGGCGAGTACACTGTGGTGAGTTATTGTCGCAAAAGCCAACAGAAGACTGCTGTCAATTTGAGCTATTGTGTCAGAAATACAACAGAAGACCAAATGATGTATAAGTACACAGTGCAGCTACTTGGATTTAATAAGGAAGTCTTTTTCTTTGTGCCATAAGATTAGCTACATCATCTTCTGCTTTGTGAATTCCTATGTTGAAGCCTCTATTTGGCTGCTTCCATGTTTCCTATTTCTGGATGAGAGGGTGGAGTGTTTAATTATCAGATAGCGCCAGCAAGTTACATCCATTAACTCTAACAGGGCATTAGACAGTCATAGATACACTCTAATTAGCGCTGCATAACATACAAATAGAGTACTACAATTTGATCCGAAAACCGGACCACAAATACAGCCTTATTAATCTCTGAAAAGCACCAAGAGCACAAAAATGATTGAGTTCATGTTCAGTGACTTGGCTTGGCTGAGGTCAAACTTAGCAGACAGCTGCCAGAATAGCCACCTGCATAGGTGTCCACCTATCAGTCAAAGCTGCTTCACTCCTAATTGAATACATTGGAGCCTGAATAGAAAGTAAACAGGAGAGTTGGAGCGAGACACGGTAAAGTCAGTTGTTATCTTGCTGAGGAGTTAGAGGTGATGAAACTCACAGCTCCTTATCCAACCACTCACAGCAGGTACTCGTTATTCCATTACTCCTCTCAGTATTTCAAAAACAGCGCAAATTTAAATCTTGCTTTTTTAAACTTGATGACACACACACACAAATTTTACTTCAACAGTACTATTTGAACTATTTAAACAGCTCTAACGCCATTTAAAGAGGTTTGGGTGATTTACTTAAATTAACCAAACAAAGACTTTCATAGGATTGTATTACAATATATTGTAATGACAACTACAACATGTTTTATGTTTCCTGTTTTCTAATCCACCCCACATTTAGCTAGGGAATCCGAATCCAGTGCAGGAATTACATGTGTATGAACTTTTTTTTTTTTTACCGGTATAACTACAAGAGACAAGGTGGTATGAATGATGGGTTTTATGAAAGCATCATTTTTATTTGCGAACAATGAAATTCTATCTCCTCTGTCTTAGAGATGTAATCGTTTTTCCATCTAAATGTGCTTCTGTGAAATCCTTCACTTCAGATACCTTTCTACAGAGGAGAAAGGATCACTTTTGATGTTGCTCCTTCTAGGATGAATTTCAAGGTGGAACACAACAGCTTGAAACTAGAGGTAAAGAGAACTGTTATATCTTAATTTTTTTAAAATAGTTATTATTAATGTGTATCAGCAAGTTTCAAAAGGAAACAAGTTTTGTGCAAAATATTCAAGTTTGACATTCTGTCTCTTTATGTGTAGCCCATCTTCCGTGTGATGGGCTTCTCTGTGACTGGCCGGGTTCTCAACAGTCCTGATGGGGAAGGTGTGCCCGATGCTACAGTCTACCTAAACAACCAGATCAAGGGTAATCGCAAAAGAAGACTCATGTTTTCAGTAGAATATCTAACTATAGTTTTTGAAGTGGTTCTCTGTCACACTTTAAACTGTAGCTTGCTTTACCACTCTGCCTCACAGTTGTCAGCAAAGAAGATGGCTCTTTCCGGTTGGAGAACATGACAGCTGGTACCTACACCATCCGTGTCAACAAAGAGCTCATGTTCTTCGAGCCAGTCACAGTGAAGATCGCTCCTAATACGCCTCAACTTCCTGATATCGTCACAGCAGGGTACGTTATAAGAATTAGTAGCTTATTACATAAATTTAGCTGCAGTGTAGTTCTTCATATTGTCATGACTTCCTCATTTTGGTCCAACACAGGTTCAGTGTTTGTGGCCAGATCTCCATCAGCCGCCTGCCTGAAGGCATGAAGCAGCAAGGTCGCTACAAGGTCACTCTGACGCACAAGAGCACAGACAAGGCTTTCATTCGGACTGTTGAATCTGACCATCAGGGGGCCTTCTGCTTTCAGGCCAAACCCGGAGACTACAGTGTCCATGTAAGACTCGAGCAGCATTTTATTTTATATGACATATCCATATCTTAATTTTTATAACCTCTTATTTAATCAGTTTGAAAGCTAATTCAAATAGTATTAAATATATACAAGAAACTGACATATGTCACGCATACTAAATTTTAATTGGTGAGCCTCCTAAAAGATGAACAGATGTCATGTTGCCTAAAGCGCAGATGGTGCTTTTTACCCATATTCTATGATATTTGCACATTTACGGCTTAACAGTTGCAACAGATCATCATCTGAAAAACTCATTTGTCATTGGAAAGCAAAAAACCCAAATCTTTAACTTTTTTTTTATTCAGAAATACAGATTCCTCTGTGTCATCAAACCAAAGCAGTTAAGCTTAGTGTTCATGTAGCTGTTTGATTAAAAAATATGGTTTTAAGCAAAAGGAAATTTGTTTGTGTGTTCAGGTATCTCTGCCTGAAGCAGAGGTGAAAGCAGGCCTGGCTCTGCAGCCTCAGGCCCTGGACATCTCCCTTGTGGATCAACCACTCACAGACCTAGTTTTCACCCAGTTCATGGCTTCTGTTTCTGGAAAGGTGTACTGTCTAGGTAAAAGTCTTAGTAATTTACACTTTACAGTCTTTTTGAGAAGACAAAGTTTACCAAAGATGCAGCTTTAATCCATAAAGAAATATGTTTTCACACGAGCCAACCTTGTGTTCTCTGGTTGTCCTTTAGCTTCCTGTGATGACCTCTCTGTAACCCTGCAGCCAGCGAGTAGGCAGGGGGAGAGGAGGGCAGTGGCTCTGTCTGGGAGCAGCGACATCCTCAGCTTCTCTTTTGACAACGTTTTGCCCGGGAAATACAAAGGTTTTAAGTATACTTCTAGTTTTTTTAAATTATATGTAAACTCTGCATGCAGTCAGGTTTTCACTGGAACAACTGAGTCAAGCATTCTGTACAATATAAACCCCTCAATCTATGCACACTTCTATTTGAAAGTTCTAGTAGTTATTCTTAAATAGAGAAATGAGCGGGTAATCATCAGCCTTTCAATCACTGGTTTATAGCAGCAGCTTTCAGCAGGCATGCCATTACTCAACTAGTGTTTCCCCACCTTCTGGTAATGTGGATCCATCTGTTCATTCCACACAAACTCTGATCTGCACACACTGCATGTTTATTCAGTTTATAGTGTTGCTGGGACAGTTTTTTATATATAATATGTGTGCAATCATTTTTTTTTATTCTTTTTATTCAAAGATCCTGAACGGAACTTGTGATATTTTTCCACCTATAATAGTGTGACATATTTAATTCACACATTTCTTTTTTCCCCCTGTCATTTAAAATGTATTTCTCACTTTTTATTCTCTCTAATCTTTACCACTTGTAGTAAGTATTTCTCACGAGGAGTGGTGCTGGAAACATAAGTCAGTGGAGGTGGAGGTTCTGGAATCGGACGTCTTGGGGGTGGAGTTCAGACAGATTGGCTACATCCTGCGCTGCTCCCTTTCCCATGCCATCACTTTGGTTAGTAATCAGTAGCTCACTCCACTTGCACTACATGCTGCCTGTTAGATCAGATGCTTACACTTCCATATGTATTATTGAATGTGTGGTGCTGCACAGGAGTTCTTCCAAGATGGCAGCAAACCTGAAAACGTTGGCGTGTACAACCTCTCTAAGGGAGTCAACCGCTTCTGCCTCTCCAAGCCTGGTGAGTTTCTTTATTCTGACCTCTCATTAGCTCAACATAGGAGAAATTAGCATAATCAAAAAATATCAGACTGTACCAACTGTACCATGTCCGACTTATCTAAATATACCACTGGAACATAATAATTAATCAGCCAAAAATGGCTTGTCCAGGTGTTTACAAAGTCACCCCTCGCTCCTGCCACCAATTTGAGCAGGACTTCTACACCTACGATACGTAAGTAATGTAACGTGTGTTTTTATTTCTGGGTTAATGCAGTGCAACCATGCAGCCAAAGCATTCTAATGACTGCTGTTGACCTGTGTGTAACAGTTCAGCCCCCAGCATTCTGACCCTGACTGCAGTGCGGCATCACATGACAGGACTCATCACCACCGACAAGACTCTAGACGTCACACTCACGATCAAGTAATTATGACTCTGCATGAGTAGTCTCGTATGCTCAAATGCTGCCGTGCATTTGCGTGTTTGGTAATGACCAGCTTTAGCGTTTTTATTAATTTTTAAATCCTCATCCCCCTGGTCAGGTCGTCCATCGAGAGCGAGCCGGCGCTCGTGCTGGGTCCGCTGCGGAGCCTGGAGGAGCAGAGGCAGGAGCAGCAACTGCAGGAGATCGAGCTGCGACGTCAGGAGCGAGAACGCCGTGCAGCTGAAGAGGAAGGAGGTGCCAGAGACGATAGTCCTCCTATCCAAGAAAAGGCTGATGAACTGACAGGCCCCTTCCACTATGAGTTCTCCTACTGGGCCAGGTCAGTTTTTGCTCTTTAAAATACCATGTAGGGCTGACGGCAAAACATCTGTTCACTTTAGTGTTAACTTGGAAATTCCAGCTTTATATCTCTGTAGAAAATTAACAGGACTTGAGAGAAATTAAGAGTGGAATTCTGACATCTGCTAATAATAACCATCAGAGGCTCACTTGAGTCTAGAACTGTTGTTCATCGCTGTTAGTGATTTTTTTTCTTTCTGTGTAAATATGCAGGGCTGGTGAGAAGATCACAGTGACTCCCTCCTCGAAGGAGCTGTTGTTCTACCCTCCTGAAGTAGAGGCAACTATCACCGGAGGTAAAGTCACACAAGAAGAAAGTCTATTGGAAACCTTAAAACGGACTCTGATACAACCCACGCAGGTTATTCTAAATAAACCGCATCTTTGCTGTTGACAGAGTCGTGTCCAGGTCGGCTGGTGGACATCACCGGTCGTGCAGGTCTTTTCTTAGAAGGCAAGGTGTCACCAGAGCTACAAGGTGTGGAAATATCTATCACTGAGAGAGGCGCTGCTACACCACTCATTACTGTGGCCACTAATGAGATGGGAGCATACAGGTATGAGAACACGGTGATAAAAATAGGGTGTGTGAAAATGAGAGCGAGGATATTCAAGCATTTTTCATTCGGGTAATGCTGCCTTCGGGTTCTGCTATAAATGTTATTGCCTTAGCAAGTCATTATACTAACAGGGTAGTTCATAAATGCATTTTTTTTTTAAGAATAAGGTTTTTGGCCTGGAGTGAGGTGTGAAGTCTTTTCTATTTAGGACCAAAAAGTTAAAGTTAAAAAAGAAAAAAAGTTGAGATTCATGGCTGTGGGCGCAGCCATCATCATTTTGTTACTGACTGAAATAACCCAACAACTGTTGGATTCATTACCACGGAGCCCCAGATGTTCATGGTGCCCAGAGGATGAATTTCAATGACTTTTGTGTTCACCTGTTTATTCCTCTTTTCTTTATTTGAAGAAGAAAAAAAAAAACAAACCCTGGAAACTTACGAAGCATCAGCCAGGCTAGCATTTTTACAGCAGATATTTTTGGCTTGTCATAAGAGCGAAAGCACAGGTGGCATTAGAGACATTGGCGCTGAATCAGTATGCAGAAAAGCAGGGCTTGCAATACATTATCAAGCCTGTGATCTGCGATCTTGATGCTGTTGTAAGCATCTTAGTCTGTAAAATGAGGGTCACGGGGACAGCCTCAGGGCTGCAAGTAGACTTTGTGTCCTTAGGGCAAAGAAACATGCCTTTTTTCTTTCACATGAGTAAAGCTTGTGTTGTATGTAGTGCTGTCAGCGTTAATCTCGTTAAAATGACGTTAACGCAATAACCGCATTAACGCGGCAAATCTCCATTAGCGAGTTAACGCGGATCGCCCCGTGCGTTAGGCTGCACGGCGTTAACGAGGCGCGTTGACGCCGTGCAGCTGGCGGGTATGGCGTCATTTTAATGAGATTAACGCTGACATTGTTCCATTGTTTTAGTATTGACGTTATAATAGGCTTTATAGATTGGCTTGTGTTCAAATCACGTTGCATTTAGTAATAAACAAGTATCTTGAAGAAATTCCGACCTTCACTTAACTTTTCCCCCGCTTTTCTTCAGTGTGGGTCCGCTCCACAGTGACCGGCAGTACGACATCAGTGCAAGTAAAGAAGGTTTCGTGCTGAGTCCCGTGGAGGGCACCCAGGGAGATTTTAAGGCATTTGCTTTGGCTGGCGTCACCTTCAAGGTATATGCAGCCATCCTCACGTGCATGTTTTACCTCCCAGTAATCATCAGACGTTTAGGTACTTTTTATATTTGTCCAGCTGTTTGTTCACAACTACTAACCCTCAGTGATTATGGTGGTTGGACATGAGATAAAGAAGTGACATCATGAAAAGTACTTGTTACTGTATGTTTTGGAAAAATGTTTTTTTTGTGTTTTGCCGCGTGCTGTCAGTACACTGCCTTTGTGCTGCCCTTTGTTAAAAGGATCTGCAATTACCTACTGCGACCGTGAGATCCTGACACAAATGATCAGTATTAGTTTCCTTTTCACACTGTGTGATAAATTGCTTTGAAATCTTCTGCTCAGCATTGACAGAGCTTTGTGCCCATGTTTATTTTTCACTTGTACATCTTCTCTGAAATTAAGCTCACCTGTCAGCCTGATTACACCCACAATTTGGCGCTCACTCGAGCCACGGGCTTTCATTATTTTCTCCGTGTGATCTTTTATTGTGAAAAGATTAAAGGGGTTTAATTGATTTGGTCCCTGTCTAGCAGTAAAATCAACCAGTATTCTGTCTGTGCTGTAGATCAAATCGGAGGACGGTCAGCCTCTCGCCGGCGTGCTTCTTTCTCTGAGTGGGGGTCAGTTTCGCTCCAACCTTTTGACTCAAGACACTGGCATCCTCACTTTCAATAACTTGGTAAGAAACCTCTTTTAGTAGTATGTCAGACTGCCAAACATTGTTGGTGGTTGACGGTAATTCTAGGGATGCTTTGCCCTGTGTCTTGGTTCACCTGTCCATCCTGTATTTTCTGCTTCCCACCTTTTTTTCCTCAGAGTCCTGGTCAGTACTACTTCAAGCCCATGATGAAGGAATTCCGCTTTGAGCCGGCATCTCAAATGATTACAGTGGAGGAGGGTGAAAACCTCAGTATTGATATAACTGGAATCAAAACTGCGTACAGGTAAATGAGTGTACATTGTCCACTGTTAGCTTGCAAGCATAGGAATATCTTTCAGTGTGCAAATTACTGAGCCTATACTCATCTGCTGGTGGGTACTGCAGCTTGCACATGTGCTCATTGCAGTCTTGTACACTTGTACTCAGCTGCTACGGAATGGTGCAGTCTCTCAACGGGGATGCAGAGTGGGACGTGGCTGTGGAGGCCGTGGGTCAGGGAGACTGTAGCCTCTACAGCGAGGACACTGTCACTGATGAGGAGGGCCGATTCAGACTCAGGGGTCTGCTGGTGAGGACGGGATGAGCTGTTAAAATAAGACCAGACTTGAGAATTGAAACAGATCATGGCCTCTAGGTGTTGTCTTGGATTATTAGGGAAACTGGTGATTTTGCAAAGTGTGATTTGTAAGCGGTATATGATTTGCTCAGTTGTAATGGAGTGTATGTGATTATACCTCTAACTCATTTAATGTTTTTCTTGCAGCCGGGTTGCAAATATCTCATTCAACTGCGAGCTGAAGGCAACGACCACATAGAGCGGGCCTTGCCACAACACAGAGCTATAGAGGTAGGCAGCAGCTTGCTTCAAGTTTGTCCGGTGCAGATGTTCAGCATCTTTGGCTTTTAATGGGGTGGAGAAATTACAATTATACCAAGTTTCTTAGAGCTTTAAATATGAGAGGGGTCACTTGAGTGTCATGAAGGCACACATGCTTAAGCATAACTGGTTAGTTTTACATGTTTGGCTACATATTTAGACTTTTTGTCAGTAGCTAATGGTGCAGTTATCTATGTTTAGGAAGTATGTTGTTTTGACTTAAAAGCTGTGGGTCAGAGTTGACTTGGATTACTCTTGAAGGCAAAGCTGCTACTAAATGAAGCTCACTGAGTGCTTTAAGTTCAGGAATTTTGCACACATTTTCAAGTCGTACTCACACTGCTTTAACACTTCTGAAAACTATTAAGGAGGCTATGGAAAACTTTAGTAATTGAATTGTTAAAATAACTGTGGGAACCCTGTGATTATGACTTATCGGCACCCTCATCACATGGGTCCTTTCAATATTCAGAACAAAAGCAGCGATAATCCCATTGCCAAAGTTTAAACCTCTCACTTCATAATTTTAGCTTGTCTGAAAAGTGCAGCGCTCCTAATCTCCCTCGCAAGGCTGGAAATGCCTTAATTCCCTTTAATTCTCTGTTATTATCACACCGTGTGACTTGAACAAAAAACTTGATCCGTGGTTCACATTGGATATTTTCTTCACAAGTTTCATTGTTACATCTATATAATGAGCTCTATATTCCCTTTCAGGTTGGCAGTAGTGACATTGAAGGGGTCAACATTATCGCCTTCAGGCAGATCAATCAATTTGACCTCAGTGGAAACATCATCACGTCTCCTGAACACCTTCCAACACTATCAGTAGGACGTTTAAAACCTGGCATTTTTGTCTTTCTTTTGAAACTTTTAAGTCTCTACAAGGCTTTTGCATTAGCTGTAGATAAGTTAGACCTGTAATCATTTTTGCTTTACCTTTACACTTTCCCGCCCCCCCAGGTGAAATTGTATAAGAGTGACAATCTGGACAATCCAATCAACAGCGTCTCTCTGGGACAATCCCTTTTCTTTCACTTCCCTCCTTTGGACAGAGATGGCGAGGTAATTCAGTCTTAAAGAGCTCCTGTTATGCTTTTACTGGTTTGAGTAATGAGGTCAGTGTACGTTTGGTAATCCCAGTAAGCCAAAAGGTTCGTGTTTCAGACCACTAAGACAATTCTTTCCTACTATTAGACGGAGGAAAGTCAGTGTGAGAGGACATCCCTAACATGGTTATGTCAGGGACAGCGCTTTTCATATGCACAAATTTACCACCCACATGCTGTTCAAACCTTCTGTTTAGCAGTAGTAGCCAATCAGAAGAACCCTGGCTTAAAGGGAGAACGGTTTTAAAGAGAGAGGAGGTAAAACACCTTTTTGAAGGTGGTGCAGGCCCTCAGTTCAGTGAGGCCGAGTATAAGATAAAACTAGGATTATTTTTCAACTGTGAAACATGCAAAGCAACTTGATGGTTTTTGGTTTTTAAGCCAGTATTATTAAAATATAGTGCTGTCAGTGTTAACGCAACATTAACGTGCTTAAGCTGCATTAACGCCGAGTGACCCCTCACACTAATCTGCGTTAACTCGTTAACAGGGATTTGCCAATTTTGACGCGTTAACGTGGGTCAGTTCACGTTAATGCTGACAGCACTACTGAAATATCATTTACTTAGTCCTTAATTGCGTATTTTACGTAATTCATAGTAAAACATGACCCAGAATACACTGCTGTTTATCCATAGTCACCTTTCTCTTCTCTTTTCTAGAGCTACGTACTGATGCTGTACTCCACACTGTCCCGTTCCCAATATGATTTCACACTGCCTCAAGTCTCCTTCACTTCCACTGGCTACTACAAACATGTCACTCTTACCTTCCACCCTACTGTAAGATACAGATGTTTTTAAGTATATATTTTTCCTACAAAGAATATTTGTTTTGTCTTATTTGTTACAGAACAGTATGTTTCTATATAAATGTGTGTGCACTTTCCCACAGCGTAAAGTGCCCGACCAGGATGTTGCTCAGGGGTCTTACGTAGCTTTGCCGCTCACTCTACTTCTCCTCTTAGCGGCCTACAATTATGAGAAGGTACAGAACAAGTTGCATCTAATCAAGGCAGACTATTCAACCAAGCTTTTGTTTGATTTTTCAATTTCTAAATGTGAGGAATAAATGTCACTAGAAGTGAGCCTTGTCCAGGCCAAGCCTATAATGTATTAATACCCTGTAATTCTAATAGTTGTCGCATGGTTGGTTTTTATAGTTAAAGTTTTTGATCCAGTAAGCTTCATTTAATGCCTTTTCCTGACCTGTTTGCAGGTGATTCCCCTTTTGTTACAGTTGGGGAGCCGCATCCAGGGAGTGAGGAGCATGGCTCAAGCCAGCAGCGAAAGTGCTGCTATGGATGAAGCCAAACGTCAGGCCAAGAGACAGAAAGCCAGGCGAACATGAGGTGCACATTAAGCCACATCTTCGTACACTAAACTGCCCGCTAGCATCCGTGACCCCAGCATCGGAAAGCAATGGGTTACCAGGGTTACACTTCTTCATTGTTACCAACCAAGTGCTGTGTGTGCTAGTGAACTTTTTAGCTTGCTAAGGTGTGTTTGAAACAGGGCCCAGGTGAAGCCCAACATGAACCACTCAACACCCTTTACCACCACCACCACCTCCACCTCATCTGCCACTTTGATTCACTGGACCGATAGCTGACATTTTACAGACTGTTTTTTGTCCACAATTAATCTTAGTCTAAGAAAATTGTTGATATTTGTAATAGAATATGAGCCATTTTTTATATTTGTAATTTATCCAGGTCAACAACAGCGTTTTGTGGGTTTTTTGTTGTTGTTGTTTTTTGTTTTTGTTTTTTTTAATGAGTACAATGCTTATTTTAATAGTCCTAACAATGTTTGGGACTGTGAGACATTGTATGCCTATCAGCACTGGGGCCAAGTCATTAAAACGTGGCTTTAATTTGATAAAGTGTTAGCTTAAAGCAGCAGTTCTCAAACTTTTTTTCCTGCCATTTAGATGCTACACACACACACTTTCTCAGCATCAGCAAAGTTGATTATTTTACATACATAAATTATAGCCATAAAGCTTAATTTAACTTTGTATTTTTCCCTGGTTCGTCCGCAACCCTCCTGCAGTGGATTTATGTCCCACCAGGGGGCCCCGCCCCATAGTTTGAGAACCGCTGGCTTAAGGATATTTAAGGTTTCCAAACTATGTGCTGGTCTTTTCACAAGCTTAAAATGTTTTTAACTTGATGTGTCCCCATGGACTTGATCTAAGACTGAACTGAGCCTTATAATCCCATCACAAACAAGGGACTCTGTAACTTCCAGTTACAAATGAAAGACAACCAAAGATGTTAACGAGCTAATATGGTTGTTAGTCAAATGACATCACACAATGTCAATCACCAATGAAATACTGTAATGCATTCACTCCTGATGGCATTTTATTAGGCGTTAAGTGTGATGTTAGACTTTTTGACTCCTTCGTTTGCTCAGGTACAGGATGCGGGAAATTTTGGTTTGAATACTGTGTTTTTGTTTTCTTTGAAGGATGGGCTGCGGTGGCGGGGTAGGGAGTGATAGGGCTAACTAAGAGTTGATTAATTTATTAACATATGTTTAATCAGATGTGAACGATAACCTAGTCTGAATGCTATGACGTGTTTTTTCAGAAGTGTTGGTTGATTTCATTTTTTTTCTCATTTATATTCCATAAGATTAAATATGTGTGACAAGCTAAATTAAATTTCAGAAGACCCATGTACTGAATTGAAAATGAATATCTACAAAGGGTCGTTCATGACCTTTAGATAAACTTGATGAGGCAGGATTGTGATTTCATAAGCTCATTGTCTTACTGCAGAGCAGTTTAATGCACTGTGAAATCTATGTACCCCAGCTCTTTTTTTCTGTATTGAATTCATCTGAACTCAGCGGTGGCTGCCTTTTACAGAAAGATGAAAAGGCCACTGACTATTTACTGAGTTGAAAGATATTCCAATTAGTCTACATTCAGAAGTTGATTACTTTGGTTGGGGTGGGAGACGGAAGATGAGGGAGGTGGGGTGTAATTGTCATTTGTTCAGAATCTGTTAATTTTTCAGATAATCAATAAAGTTTGACTGGAATAAGATTACCTTTTTAATGGCTTTACCTGTAGGGGGCAGTGTAATGCTATAGGATAGTATAACAGGCAAGAACTGTAACTCCTCATCCTTTAAGTGTTACAGTACAAAACTCCTATTATATCAGTTCTGGATCACAAGAAGTCGACTCAGAAAATCAATAAGTCTGAGTCTGACTTCTCTCATTACTCCCCTTCACCCGAGCAGTACGTGTTATAAAGTGCCTTAGGGCACATTAGAGAACAGCCTGCACAAGTTGATGTTTTGGGAAGCGAGGTTAAACGGCTTAAATAACAGCAGAGCTGCCTAATAGGAATATGTTTCAACTGAAATCCTATTGTTTTAGTGTGAAAAGGAAGCTTGCACATGAATAACAAATGTGCTCTGCGCTGTCTTGAGAACTTCGCCCCACCCTGTCTTTGTACACAGCATCAGACAAAGCCGGAGCACTGGACAGTTTTTAAGCATTAACTGATGGAAAAACAAGCTAAATTGATCACGGTTTGTATTTTTTGACTAGCCTTTGCCAACTAATAATAAACAAACCACATTATTGATCAGGTTTATGACCTCACATCTGGCATTTTGACCTGCAGTAGAGGAAACATCAGGGGGAACAGATTACATTAAACATGCCTCTTCAACCTCTAAGGTGCAGCACTTGCAAGGCTTGGGTTAATTGCCTGTTGGTGTGCTGGCATGGCTTACAGGAACACTAAAATTAACTGAATGCACTATTTTTATGAGTTATTCATGTAGCTTTCTACATCACCCATTTGTTTAGTATTCTGGCAGAAAATTCTCAGACACAATTTACCATATTTGCACAAAACTCTGGACTAAGTTATCAGCTAACACCAACAAGATTGCTTAGCAAGCTGCTAACCATGAAAATTAGTGCAATTAGCAGATGACTAAAATACAAAAATGGAGCATAAACGCCTTGGACTGCACAGCGAGATATATTACGGTGCTGCGCAAAATTCTTCAGCCAACACAAAGCCAAAAAACTCTTGTCTATGGCTATGACTAAAGACGTGGAACCAAATTATGTTGTTTGTTTGTTTGTTTTTGCTTAAAATCTCAAAATGAGAGGTAATGGAAGACTTTTGCACAATACTGTATGTCTTCATTTAAAAAAAGCTCCTAATAGTACAAACATTGTCAAGACCAGTTCATTGACTCCAATTAGCAAAGGTAAAACCTGATGGACAGTATTCAGCTACAGCTGCCACTGCTGAGATGCCTGTCAATCAAAGCAAACATGCTATATAGATGAACTATAAAAAAAGCAAAGTTCATTATGCAGTTCACTATCCAGAGAACAAAACCTGTTTTTGTCCCAGGCTATTAACATGCTTTTTAATAACACAATTTTGGGCATTTTAACACAGTAGTCTGTAGGGATGTACTCGCCTTTGGGCCAGCCTCTAGTGGCTACTGAACACTTCTGATTGGCTTTGCTGTTTAGCCCTGGAGGATGCTAACAGAGTCAAATTAATGAGGTTTTATGAAGCTTAATTAATCACATAAATGGCAGTAACAATGGCTACAGCATGCAGTATATAACATAGTGTATATGGGTAAGCTGGAAGGCATTTATTCAAAAGTTAGCCTAAAAGAACCTTTATACAGGTAGAATGCATAGTTGATGACAAGTGATGTATGCACCACAGCAAAATTACTTTTCTGCCCTTTTCCTCTTCATCAGTTTGTGCTTTAAATAGAGAGCTTTTTGACCACCATTATTATTATTATTTTTTTTTTATATCTGTGACAGTTGTTAGGCTGTCTCCTCTCCCACCTACACACTGTACATGTGACAACAACGCTTATGTGAATCCTGGATGGACTACCTCCTTTTGCTCCATCCACTTCATTGAAAAGGAGTGCCGGTGTCTTGTCACTCAATGCACAACGTTCTGACAGCGGCTGAGACGCCATACTGGGGCTCCTCTGCTGGCATTTTGAATTGATGAGATTGAGATGCAGCCAATTAGTGTGAGCCACTCAGCTCAGCGTCTGTCTGAAACAACCTGGGGAATAAAAGCTGCAACAACAACACACACCGGTGTCATCAGTTTAATCACATAACATTGTCACTCAACTTCAATACACATGGCAGTCTTCTATAGACATGAGTTACTATTACTTCTATATATTTCTTGAGAAAATAGTTTTTCCCTCAGGTACCTCTGCAAGCAGGGATCCTTATCTTACAGTCTACTGACATTCTAGTGTGATTTTATGGGTCGTTCCATTGCATATATCACACGCTGTCATTGCTTATGCTTAGAAAACACTGCCTGTGCATCTTAAACAGTGTTATTGCAGCTCCCGGTTGTATTTCAGTGACCCATGAGGTCTTATACTAATGACAACAGCAGACTGTGGAGTAGTGTGAACTTTATAAACCAGATGATCTGTAAATTCCCACAGTTAAACAGCTCCATTCTTATTATAGAAAACCTTTTTTCCAATGAGGTTTTCGTTCTTACAGCAAGTGAATTTATACAAATTTCCTGGGCCTTCGCCTGCATATTTGCATCACGCTGTCACCTAACATAACTCTCTCCATTCATGTCGTCCCACACTGCAGTGGCTCACTGCCCAGCCTGAGTCACCTATACCAGTCATAGTGCATTGGCCAAGACACAAGTCATCGTAGAGCAGCGGAGGGAGAGCGGCGCAGCACACCGTCTGTGGCACATTAATACCAGACGTTTGATGAGAAGGCCAGAGAGAGGGGGCACGGGGGTGGGGGGAAATTAAATATTCATTAGGAATGATGACAAGACGGGCAGCGGTGGGGATGATGTGTAATAGTATCTACTGGCTGCTTTTTGTGGGAGCTGAAGCCTGTATGTGTGTGTGTGTGTGAGCCTAGATGCAAACCAGGCCGACTCTAAGTGCCAGTCTCTATCTGTACAAAGAGGTGTGTCATGTCACCCTTTTATGAAACCTAATGCCTACTTACTGCATGCCAGATGCAATGACAGCTGAGGTGGCTGTGTCCCCACTAATGTAATCAGAGAGAGCAAGAGTGCACAGAAAGCCTTAAAAATCTCCCGTCATTCATACATATTATGACCGAAAACAGGATTTTTATCCCCAAGGCTGCCTCTCGCTACAGTTGTGTTTAAGTGCAAGTTAAATCTGCAGCCTTTATAGCATGCTCTTTTTATTTAGTTTTCTGGACCGCAACTTTAATGTTTCGAGTCACTTTGAGCACTATCATCATTGTTGTTTGGAGCCATAGCAGAAAGCTTTTATTTAGCAAAACCCATCGAAAACCAGCTGTACTCTTATACTTTCTGCCCAGCTCAAAATAACAAAGAGAGAAATGAGCTGTAAAGACAGTGAAACACAAGAACCAAACAGTTCCCCCAGAAGATGTTGGAGACTTACATTTATCACATGATTGTAAATGAACGAACTGTTCGGTTTAATAAATGCAGACCAACAGTAGAATAACTGTGAAACCCAGAATGTGAACTGCAGGTGTGTCATCATGCATGTGGTTCACATGCTTAAGAAATTGTTCCATATCTTAACACAACTCCATATAGATAGATAGATATATAAAGGATGCATGAATGACTACCACTTCCTGTTGTGCTCAGGCATTTTTTAATTGAGTTAGCTTCTCTTAATCAGTATTAATATCAATAATTCAATATGCCTTACACTGGCTTGTCTGGAAGTATTTAGCAATTCTTCAGTGAGTTGTGATGCTCTTAGCTGTGTATCCTAAATATGAAGGATAATGGAGGCCAGGTCCATGCAAGAAAGTCTCCTGACTTGAAATAGAGAAGCTTATGAATCGCTCATTACATTGAATGGCCACCAAAGATATGTAATTATATCTATGCAAATACATTTGAATTCCAATAATTTGGTTTTATTCCGTTATGTTAAGTTATGTAGATTAAAATGAATTAAAGCTCGCATTTCAATGTATATATGATCTTTGTTTGATTCTTATCTCTTTATGCCCTCCTTTCTTTTTAGTCCAAGGGGACAATTGTTTTACTACGACACAGCATTAGTCTGTGTCTGCTGCACAGCTCTTCACAGTGTAAGGTGAGCCATGTACCAGCGGTGTCTTCTAATCTTCTGCCTGTCCACAAATCTCTCCTTGAACAAATGAGTCTCACTGACCACTGCCGCTGCCTGTCCTCTACACATTTTCCAGTGCCCTTCCCTACATCCCACACAAGTGAAGCTCAAATGCCTAACGGATCAATGGACTGTTCAGGCCCGCTCGCATTCAACAAGGTCTCAGCATAGCTGCCGGCCCATTGGCTTTAAGAGATTTTTGTTGGCGGGTACGGTGATAAAAGCACAGACATCATGGTAATAAAAAGGCTGACAGGTTCTGGGAAGGACTGACTCTTTTTCTCTCCTCCTCTCTATCCATCTCATTTTGTCACATGTCTCCTCCCCTTCCCCTCATCGCTCTGCTCAGCCTTTGGTTCCAACAGACTGGTGCTGTAGTCTATACTGTCATGTGTATGGGCTTTGGAGCTTGACGAAAGGGGAGGACGACTGACACAAAGGGTGTGGAGAGACGGAGGGATGTCTGGTGTATGCAGTGGAGAAGTTGATCAGTCTGGAGTTGTAGAAGTCTTTGAGCAAAGTCACATTATAGAGAAGGACAAAAGCAGCAGGCATGGCTGCCGACACCCCTTGAGGAAGCCTTGACCAAAAAGCTTCCGTATACTAAGACCTTTCTTTTGTACATCAGCGGAATGAGCTTTGAATGTTAAATCTAAAACATTGGCTCGCAGTGCTACTAGTATTGATTAGCACCCAACTAGTCATTAAAGTTGCCCTTCCAGGACAGGGCAGCATAGTGATGAGCAAATTTATTTATTTTTAAATCAAAGATTTGCTCAATATATATGCAAAATTATTCATGATATTCAGCTGTGTTACTTGTAAGTTGTATGGATTTGCTAAAATGTCAGGAGAAATGTATCTGTGTTTTACACATCCAGCGAATACG